CTCCGAGGCGCAGAGCCCTCTCCAGCCGTGTCCGCACTGAGCTGGGTCTCGCTGTCCCCCAGGGGTGGCCGAGCAGTTCGCCATCACGGAGGCCACTCTGAGCGCCTGGTCTTCGCAGGACGCCGAGGAGCTGCGTCCTGAGGACAGCCCCCGGGACCCCGTCCCGCTCCAGGGTACGCCCCGGGTGCGGCGGACCCCACGCCTTTCCTCCCCTTCTGCTGTGAAGCGGGCTGCCATCCCGGAGCAGAATACTGTACCGATCACTGCCTGTGAGCTCGTCTCCGTGGCCCCAGGACAGCCCTAGGAACAGGTCCTGTTTTCCCCGCTGTACAGATAGGGAACCTCGGGCACTAAGAGATTCAGAAATCACCCCAGAAGCCGGGCGTGGTGGCGCACGCCTGTCATCCCAGCCCTCGGGAGGCTGAGGCAGGAGGATCGCTGCGAGTTCGAGACCAGCCTGGGCTACATAGTCAGTTCCAGGTCAGTCTCAACTATGTAGTGAGAACCTGTCTCCAAAAAAAAAAGAAAACAAAGAAATCACCCCAGACTGAGCCAGAGGCATCAGTGCCAGGATCTGGAGTTACCACCAGGCACAACTTCCTCCCTCCTGCCCTTACCTCTTTCCTTCTGTCTGCCCTCCCTTCCCTTTCTTTTTTCCAGTACTGGGATTGAACCCAAGTCCTTCACACTGAGCTACATCCCCAGCATTTTTTTTTTTTTGAGACAAGTTCTCATTAAGTCATTGAACTGTCCAAGCTGGACTTGAGTTTGTGACGCTCCTGCCTCAGCCTCCCAGAGTGCTAGGATTACAAGCATGTGCCACCGTACCCAGCTAACCCACCTCCTTTCTCCTTTCTAGGACCCAAGTTACTACGCGGGGAGTCAGCAAGCCTGAGGCTTGGGTGGGGCCCCTCTTTAGTTACCTCACCGCTCCCCTTCTGACGGGGGGAGGGGCAGGCCGAGGGCCGCAGCGTCCCAGTTGTCATCGTGCCGCCTCTCTGCAGCCTGCCCCACTGCTCTGCTCCCTGACAGAGAGGAGAATGGCTCAGAGAGGTTCTCTGACTTGCCCATGGTCACCCGGCTCAGAACTAGCAGGAAGGGAGCAGCCCCGTACCCCTTGTTCTCCTCCCAGCCCCGAGAAGTCCAGGAGAGGCAGCGGGACTCCGTCCTCTCCCACACCCCTTTGCCTTCCAGACCTGGAGAGCAGCTACCTTCCCGACAGCCTTTTGAGCGGCCCCTTGCCAGACGACAGCTTACTGGCCTTCTCGTCCGCTGGCCTCTCCCCTGACGGCTGGCCCTCTCCCCAAGAGCCCCCCGCCACCCTCCTGGCCTTCTCGTCCCCTGGCCTCTCCCCTGACGGCTGGCCCTCTCCCGAAGAGCCCCCCATCACGGCTGCCAGCCTGCAGCACCCCAGCCCTGAGCAGCAGCAGCGCAGGCGGCTGCCTGGAGGCCCAGGGCCCGAAGGCCAGGACCCTCTGCAGGGCTCCCTACCCTCAGTGGACAGTGGCTCCCTCTCGGAGGACGAGGTGTTCTACAACTGAGCCAGCCAGGGTGCAGCGCCCACCCACACCTCACTGGGCCCGGCAGGACCCCCATGCACAGGACCCCGGGACTGGGCCTCTGGGGCCTGTGGACAGGCACCCTCCCTGGACCACTCGTGCCTCGTGGGCCCGCCCACAGTGGGAGCGTAACCCCTTCTCTCCTGGCCTGTGGGCCCCTCCCTCTGGGGCTCCCATTCTCCTGAGCTCCAGAACTGCAGTCACCAGGGCAACGGTCCCCACGGGAGCTGCCAGACAGGTCCCCAGGCAGAAGACAGACCATGGAAGGGACCAGGAGTCCCCACGAATGGGGCCTGGGGACCTGCCTGGGTCCAGCTCAGCCCCTCCTGTGTGCCTGGCCCATCAAAGGTGGGTGGCCTCTTCTGGTAGCTAAGCACCCACTGGGGCTCTGTCCTTAAAGTGTCTGTCTGTCCCTCACCCTCTGGACCAGCTTCCTTGGTGCCCAGATCCCTACCCCAGGGAGCCTCTTCCTTCCTCTCCTTGCGCCCCTCAACTCCCCCTGGGTTCTCTGGTGATTAAAGTGGTGGCTATGTCCTGATGAATCTGACCTGGTCTCTGCTGGGGAAGGCGTCCTCAGTACTAGGAGGACAGACATACATCCCCCCACGGGGGGAGGGCCATGGGGCTGCCCAAGGCCCGTGGGCACCCCGAGAAGCCACACCCTGGGACCCCACTTTACCACCGAGGCAGGAGGGCTGGAGCAACGTGACAGCTTCATAAACCCTGGTGGAGACCACTCCCCACACCTCCCCTCCAGGGAATGGGGCAGTAGGAGGAGACCAGGGAGGGCCGGAGCCGAGGGCCAGGTCCACACAGTGCAGACAGGGATGCCGGTGGCTCTGGGATCGGCTTTATTTGTGGAGTTTTGGGGTGGGGATGAACAACACCAGAGGGCACCGGGGCTGCCCTCATGGGCCGCTATTCACGGCTTTGGTGGCCACACCCTGAGTACCCAGTTTCCTGCTGTATCGGGACTTGTCCTTCAGGGCAGTAACTGGTGTCCCCCAGGGATGGGACACAGGGACGCAGGACTGGGGGTCCTCCCCCGCGTGGCTGGGGCGTAGCTGGTGGAGGGAGGCGCCTGTGGTGAGGAAGAGGCAAGGTCGGTGTCGCCGGGGCTCCAGGTCCCGGCTCGTCCAGCTCACTTCGGGGCTGCTGGGTTTGTCAGGCTGGAAATCGCCCTCTTCAACTACAGCGGAGAAAGGAGTCAGAGAGGAGGAGACGGGGCTGGCAGTCTCTAGAGCCCAGAGAACCGCGGGCTGGCTATCGGGGGGCTCATCAGAGCCCTACACGGCCCCCACTCGGACTGGGAGGAGCTGCCCCCTCTGCCCCTTCTCGCCCCGCCCTCGAGGTACCTCCACCCAGGACACGAAGCCCACGGCTCTGCCCCGCGACGTCACGAAGAGGGACTGAAGGTTCAACAGCTCGAACAGGTTGTGCGCCTGGAGGGGTGATCAGGAGGCGCTAGAGGGCAGGGAGCGCCCCTCCGCCTGCTCTGCTCGGGTCTCTGCCGGGAACACCCCACCGCCACCCCCGCAGGGCAGGAGGGAAGACGGGGATGGGGCCTGCGATGTCCAGTGTGGCCGCTAGGGGCCGCCAGAGCCCACTCGAGGAGCAGGGTCCGGCCTTGGGTGGGAAGGTCTGGTCCCCAGCCTCGGCGCGACTGGGCGTCCACCCTGCCACCCTCAAGTTCCCGCGGCTCCGCTCCTGCCCTTCCCTTACCTCAGGGGCCGGGCTCTGTCCCGGGGAGTTAAGTAATTAGCCGACTACACAGAATATGGGGTACCGAAAATTGAATTCCACAGGTTCCTCGATGAGATAATTGGGGGGGGCTAGGGATTGAATCCAGAGCCCGAAACCACTGAGCTACATTCTCAGCCCATTTTATTTATTTTGAGACAGGGTCTCACTAAGTCACTCGAACTTGTGATCCTGCCTCAGCCTCCCTAGTAGCTGGGATCAGAGGCTTGTACCACCTAGCCCAGCTGAGTGATGCTTTTAGCCACCCAGAGGCTCAGCTCCCTGAGCCCTCACTTCCCGAGTCCACATCACAGCCCCGGCAGGGAGGGATGGACAGGTAGGAGCCGCAGTGCCCACCCAGCCAGCTCAGGGGAAAGGGTGACGGGCAGCGGAGCTGGAGCGTGCGTTTCCATCACCTTGGCCAAGGCCACCCTCTGCTCCCCCTTACCTGATGCAGCGTGGTGTCTGGGGCCAGCTGCAGGGTCACTGGTGTGGTGGGACAGCCCCCAGCCAGGATGTCCTGGAGCTGCCGCTGGGGTGCAGGGCAACAGAGGAAGCTGGGCCAGCTCCCTCCAGCCAGGCCGCCCTCTGAGCCACCACTCCCTCTCCCCGCCACCCCACGGCTCTCTCCAAGACCCACCTGCTGTCCCCGAGCCCACGAAGATGGCCCAGCCAGGAGGGACTGCACCAGCTGGGCCCTGCACACTGTGCCCACGAGGATCTGAGACTCTGGCGGGCAGAGAGAGAGAGGCGGGTTATGGAGGAGGATTTCGAGTTTCCCCAGGCACTGACTGTGTGCCGAGAGCGGTGCCCATGTCTCTGCGGGAGGCTGGAGTCCGTGCCAACCTTTCCCACCTATCTTCCAGGAGAGGAAGCCTCACGGTCCCGGCTCATGCTACCCTGGGGCAGCTCGGGGGTGTGGGTTTGGAAGGTCCGGCTTGGTGTCTTTACCTCCTGTGCAGTAAAATAAAAGCCTGGGGCTGGGCTGGGTGCATCTCCCAGGACAGCGGTTGAGTAGCACTCGGGAGGCCCAGGTTCCACCCTGGCTCCACAAACACCTGACACTAAGCGAGTTCACTAAGCCCCTCCTGGCCTTCTGTAACAAACAAAACTATGTCTTGGGTGGGTGGTGGCCACCTGGTGGGGCTGGCTGAGACCTCTGAATTTTGTCTTTGAACTCAATTCTTTGTTTGAAGAGGTGAAATCTCTCGGGGTCACCCACGTGCAAAATCTGTCTGTGTAGGTGGCCGGCTCTGCTGCACGCAGCCCAGGGAGTAAGAAGCACCTGACACAGGCAGGGCTGCTGGTAAACCTGAACAGTATCGAGGACACTGCCTTTCATGGAGCTTTAGTGATGTCACCACCGTCGTGCCACTCACGAGTGGCGTTATTCTTCCTAGGGCGTCTGCAGGGGTGACCTGTGCGGTTGTGTAACTTCCTTGCTGCATAGGATGCCTCCCAAGGGCACACAGGGACCAAACTCCAGGCAGGCTGTGGTTGTCACGTGTGTGCCCTGCCTCATTTGCACAAGGGGACACATGGGCCGACAGCGGCTCTGACAGGGCAGGAAGGGTCCTCTGGTTAGGTCCTTCCTTGAGTTTTAGCTAACGCACCCTCCCCTCAGTACAGGGCATTGAACCCAAGACCTCTGCACTGAGCTACATACCTATCCCTTCTTATTTATTTGTTTATATATTTTTTTGAGACTCACTAAATTACCAGCTTTGGGCTGAAATTTGCCATCCTCCTGCCTCAGCCTCTCAGAGTGCCGGCATGACAGGTGTAAGCCACCGTGCCCAGCTGATGTGTGTCTTGTAACCATGGCAATACTCTTGTCATGGCAACAGGGGACGGCAGAGGGCCTGGGGAAACTTCTGGAAGACCCTCGCGGTGACCCTCATCAACCTTCCCGAAGTCACAAGCACACCAGACCTGGTTCCTGGACTACCAGGAGCCTTCACGGTGCCTCACATGCTCGCTCTGGTCTCCTTTAAACATGTCAGCCCACCCCCATAAGGTGGCTCTTGTGTCCGCCTCACTAACGAAACAACAGAAACTTAAAGGGGCAAATGGATCTGCCCAGTGCCATGCAGCTAAGCCAGGGCCAGGATCCAGACCCAGACTCAATGCCCTGCTTCTCCTTGCTGGCCCGCCCTGGCCCCCCATCCTCCTGCTGGGCACCTGCGCTCTCCACCAGGGGGAACTCGGCCACGTCCGTGGAGGTCACGACCTCAACCACCTCCTCCAGCGGCGCGTCCTTGGCCAGTGTGGTGATGGGGCTCTTCATGAAGTGCCCCACGTTCACGGGGTGGGAGCTGCGGCAGAGGGAGCCCTGGTCAGGCCCTGGGGCCTGGGGAAGTCAGCGCCGGGGTGGAGCAGGGTCCTCGCCAGCCTGGGGAATCGGCTGGAGCAGGCCCCGGGACCCTCCGGGGCGGGCAGGGATTGAAGGGTCCAGGCTGAGCGAGCCCCAGGACCCCACAGTCAGAAGGAGCCTGGGGGACCTCACCGAGGGCCCAGGCCTGAACCCCAGGCCACAGGCCCCGCCCCGGCCCCGGCCCAGCTGTTCCTGATTCATCCCATCACCGCCTTCCTGGGAAAACTCCACTGGGAGAAAGGTTACACAGCAAAGTCAAATCAGAGCAACTCTGAAGTCTGAAAAGCTCCAGGTGAGCACCTACATCTCACAGGTGGGGAAATGAGGTGTGGGGCTGGGCCTTGGCCAGAGCCCTCAGAGCCTCTGGCCCCACCTCTCTGGGGACAGGAGTGGAGCTGTTTGGGTCCCACACGGTCCAGGGAGACCCTCAACGCCTCCATTCTAGCTCCACCGCAGCACCCCAAATGCGGCATGGACAGCAGAGCAGGAGGGGCAGGGGGACCCCCAAAGCTGGTGCTGGCTCTCTGCTGTCCTTGTGAGCTGCAGCCTGTGCCAGGAAGCAGGCCACTGGGGAGTACGGGGACCAGAGGACATCACGGCCAAGGTCAGCCTCTGTGGCGTAACTTCTGGGGCCTCCACCTCCAACCCTCCAGACTCGAGCATCCCGAATGCTGCAGCGGCTCACCCAAGGCAGCGGCCTCGAATCCAGGGCAGGTAAGGCAGATTCTTGACGATGATGGTGCCGTCGTAGAAGGACGGTTGGCAGCTCTGGGTGATGGCGTTGGCCGCCAGCACGCACATCAGCACGGGCAGCCCGTGCACGATCTGGCCAGTCAGCTCAAAGGCCAGCAGCGCCGTGGAGATGGTGTGGGTCACCGCCCCTGAGAAGGCCGCAGCCCCTGCGGGAATGGAGGCGGGGCGGGGCGGGCAGCTCAGGCCAGAAGGGCTCAACTGGCACAGCTAGGACCGGGCTGGGATGGGAAGCCCCAGAGAACCGACGCTGGACACTGCTGGGCATGGTGAGCTGGGAGGGACAGGACAGGCTCCAAGGGGGATCTTGGGCGGTGCAGGGAAGGGACAGGCTCTGGGAACAGGGAGAGCCACTCCATGCCTTGCGGAGCCTCTAGCTGACTGTCCAGGTGCAGCCCAAGGTGTGCCCGCCTGCTCAGCACCGGCCCTGAACTCACCAGCCAGGGCATAGCTTCCGGGCATGATGGGGTTGATGACGCCTCCAGCCACAATGCCCTCTGGGAAGGCGACAGACAGGGCCTCCCCCAAGAGGCGCCCGATGGCAGCTCCTGACACAGACTCAGTGAAGGGAAGCAGCGTTCCCGAGGGAGGGAGGGTTGGGCTGGGATCCGTGCCCCATCCCTGCACCCGGAACCTCTCGGACCCTCAGCACCCGGGGCTCAGCTCACCGTAGATGAATATGGGCAAGAAATACCCAGCGGGGATGGGGACTGTGGTGGCCAGAATCAGCATCCAGAACTGGGCAGGCAGAAGGCAGAGGTTAGAGACAGCAGTAACTACCCTTTTTATTTTTATTTTGTTTGTTTGTTTGTTTTTTGTACCGGGGATCGAACTCGGGACCTTGTGCTTGTGAGGCAGGCGGTGGAAC